TCAAATTGCTGAAGGATTAAATTACTTACATAACGAAAATATTTTGCATAGAGATTTTGTAAGTATTAACTTTGTTTATTTATTAAAGTTATTAAATTTAAATTATCTATTTAATTTAGCATTCTAAGAATATAGTCGACCCAAGAATGATCGAGGAATTCACCAAAAATTAGGTGTGAATTTCACAAAAGGAGACTTATTCCTATAAATGGGGGTTTATTGAAATTTAACAATTTTCCATATAGTTATACATGATGGTAATGCTAAAATAACAAATTTTGGTATTTCCAAAAATATGAATATGCAAAATTCTACTATTCATATCGGCAATTTTGGTAGAATTCCACATGTAGATCCAAAAAAACTTTTAGATTTAAATTTTCAATATGAAAAAGCTTCAGATATTTACAGTTATGGTGTATTGATGTGGGAAATTTCTAGCGGAGTTCCACCATTTAAGGATTTAATTAGCAGAAGTGATCAACAGTTGCTTTGCATTAAAATTATTAATGGATATCGTGAAAATATTATAGAAGATACCCCTGACGATTATAAGGAACTTTATGAAAAATGTTGGGATTCAATACCTGAGAAAAGACCAAGTATTAAAATAGTATTAGAAGAATTTAAAAAAATGGGTTTTGGAATAGAAAATGAAGGTAATGAGGATTCAATTCCTATGGTAAATGAAATAAGCAATAAGAATATTTCGGCCGAAGGTACAGTAATGTCTAGTTAATATATTATAGTTTTAAATATACTAATTTATTAATGATAATAATGATATTTAAGTAGGACAAACCGATGAATTAAATCGTACTCTAGTTACAGATGATTTAAGTAGTAAGTTATTTAATTTATTTATATTTTGATATTAAATAAAAACAGTATATACTAATAAATTTGAATTTTTTTGTTACATTTAGTTCCATAATATGAATATGATTTAAGCAGTTGGATATTAATTTATATAGATTTTGTTTTATTTGATTTTTAAATTATCGTTATGTTTTATCATTTCATATTTTCTTATGTAATATTTAAGAGGATTTCTTAAATAATACGGAATTTTATAAAATAAATCTAGTATTAACAAATTACTAAATTTTGGATTTGTTAAAAAAAGATAATATGGATGGATGGATGGGATGGTTAAATAAATTTCAAATATAAAACTTTAAAATTTATTAGAAATTTATAAAAATTATTTTTGGGGAATATTCCATTCATTAACTGGATAAGAAAAATATTTGAAGATTCAATTTCCAAGATATCAATAAATAAAAATTAACGAACTAATGATTGTTGGATAAATTTTAACCATGATTTTTTTTTAACTTTTTAAGTTTAAACATTCTGGAATTTAAATTGATAGTTGCTCTTTAAATATTAATAACTTTATTTTTAAAGGATTTTGAAATGAAATAAAAGATAACGTAAATTAATTTTTTCTAAATTGTCTTCATATTTTGCGCATTTTAACGGAGTGGATGATCGGGGACGAAGTTTACTCATCTCGTTAAAAACTGAACCTAAAAGAGAATAAACCTAAATTGAAAAAAATTTTTTTTGATTGCTACAAGCAAATAAAGAAGAAAAAGAAAAAACTTTACCTTATCCTTGCGAAGTGAGTTCAGATAAAAATATTCTATAACAATTGAATCCGAAACACAATAACAATTTAAAAAATCTTATCAAAGTAGTCTAACTTGAAAGAAATCGCCTAAAAAAAAGAAAGATAAAGAAAAGAATATTAAAAAAATAAAGAAAGAACCAAAAAAAAAAATCAAAAAAAATCGTAACTTAAAATAAGAAGAAAAAAAATTATATCACAGGAAAATAAAATCAACATCATTTAAATATTTTGTTTCTTATAGCTAAATATAATCTAAAATATTCTATTCTAACACTGCGGCTGAAGAGATCGAATTAAAATAAACCCCAAAGAAAAATTACGTGAAAATAACTGACTCACCTGAAAAGTTCTCAAGGACTCAATAAGAAGGTTAAAATATTTAAATTTCAAAAATTTCTTTTCCGTTATATAAGTAAAAACTTCATTAGTTGTAAATCATACCAAAAATTGAAATAATTTGTTAGCGCAAAAAAAAAGTAGATAAAGTTATGCATTTTTTTCTCTATGCTAATAATGATTATATTTTTTTGAAATTGACCGATAGACGTACGTAATAATAATCAAAGTTTGAAATGTATTTCTAGGATATGCTTTTATAATATTTAGCTTATATAGCCGATTTATGTGAATTTACATTTCAATCGACATTTATTCTCCTGATTAGCTTAATATTTTATCTTTGAAGCCGCGATTGTTGATCGGATTGTAATTTATTCGTTATAAAAGATCTGTAATAAGTACAGTCGATCTTAAAATATTACAGAGCAAATAATTTATGCTTTATTTTTTATCGGGAGAACAAGGTGATTCCATAGATCTCAAAAAAAAAATCAAAAAAAGGGCTGAATACACCTTTGTATAAATGTTTAGCTAGGGATATAATACTATAGAAGGTGAACATCTCACTTGATCCATGCCAATTGACATTGAGCTCGTAATAATGTTAACGCTTCCAATGATGAAAATTGTTAGTTTTTTTCTTTGGAGCTAGTGAAATCTTTAATTAAACTCCCCTCTCGTAAGTAAGAGTCTTTTATTTATTTCACTACACTCACACTTGTACTTTGATTTCTTATGACAATAGTGCAATTCCAAATTTATGTCGTTCGTATAACAAATCTTCGGTTGGTTTGAGAAATTTTTATCAAGGGCTTATTCTTGCAACAACGAAAGGTTAGAGCCTCGAAGCCGAACGTTCGAAAATTTTAAGTGAAATCATTATCGGAAAATTCAGAACTTTAAACGCACTTAGATACTCCAGAAACTGTATGTGTGATAGAGTGATTTATTCAAAATCTCGGGTTGATACGATCCTCTTCAAGGAGCTATTTAGAAGTTGGAATCGGTTAATTTACAAATGATTTCGCTAGCTTGGTCAATTTAAAGTGTTTAATTTTACCCAGTTATAGTAGGTAAACAGGTCTCAGGAAAAAATACGTTTATTTTTCATTCTCTGTTTTATATACTTAATTTCAAATGTTTATTGTGACTCTCGATGCTTTTACTGTATATAGGTAGAACGAGTTGAGAAAGTTGCTGTGTACCATCTTTTATTCTTATTATAGTAGGCATAGTTGGCTCAAAAATGTATACGTTGGGCAACAAGGAGAATATACGGAATTTGTTCATGGGTACATCAATGGATAAGTCGAAGGAAATCAACAATACTTAGATATCGTTAACGGTGTGCAAGGTCTAATGCACGAGAATAACATGGTTTGATGTTATGGATCTTCACACTCCAAAAATTATGGTGTCCAAAAATAATGGAAAGGAATAGGTAATGCTTTTAAGCAAGTTCGATATATATATACAATGGCTATTGTTCTTCTTTTTAGCATTCGTAAAACATCAATTTAAAGCTTCACGTAAATTCATAAATATTTCTGCGAATACTTTCATATAGAATGCATTCACATTAAATTATAGTCCTTGACTATATATTTGTTCACATTAATTCTTGCTATTATCAAATATACTAATACAATAACGTTCAATTGACCTTAGAAAGTGAATATATAAATTACATTTAATTAATTTGTTTATCGAATCACAGGATGTATTTGCTCTGATTTTGTTTGTTATTTGTTTGTTTTTAGGAAGGAGATAACTGATATAATAGAAATTGTAATGATCTAGTTATATTATAAATCAAATCTATATATCAGAATTTAGGAAACTTTTCAATAGTAAAAATTTTATTTATACCATTTAATTAGATGAAAGCACACAGAGGTATCTGTAAGTGAGAAACAATAATCAATTTAATTGGATATTAATTAGTATTAATCAAAAAATTTTACATTTTATATCTAATATTCCATTGAACGATGCCACATAACATTGACTCATTATACAAGAATTTGGTTATGCACATACAGTATTTAGTATTATGGTATTCACGTCCAAATTCTAAGGTTTGCGAATGTGAAGATCTAAGGTTTCAAAGTCCTTTTCTTAACATGATAATTAATTTCTTATAAATTTGTGTGCTTGGGAATGATAGATGATAATGGTCGATAAGAATCAAAGAATAATGTTTCATTGAAATCATCATATCAAGAAATCTGTAATGTTTGATTGCGTGCACTGTAATTACTTAATGTTTAAGAATTATAAGAATTAAAGATAAAAAATTCAATTATAAATATTCAACATGATAGGATCTAAATCGATCGATTGATTAAAACTTACATGCCATTTTTTATCATACTTCATATCATATCATATCATTCAAATTATACTGTCAATAACTAATTTAATAAAAAATAATTGAAACAGAATTCATGTATGAAGTACAATAATTCAAACGATCTTATTCATAAAAATAACATCCTCAGATATAAGATATAATATGATTCTACGATATTAAATTCCTTTATTACTTTAAGCTACTAGGATACTAAATTTTAGAAATATCTAACATTACTTAGCAAAATCACACTTAGCCCGATCTTTGAGAATTCTTATCCTGATCCACGATTAATTTTTTAAACTTTCTTCGGCAATTTTCATCCTTGTTCAGTCAGGCCTGTAATACCAGGCCAAAATTGCGTTGGTGATTACCCGAACATTTCGCTGAATAATAATGGCAGAATCATTTTCAATTTCCAACTCACTTCTACAGGTTTGAAAGTCACTTCCAACACAACCGTAACAATCATGAGAACAAATAAAGAAACCCATGTCCCAGTAAAAGCTATTCTTGACATACCATGGTATTTTGTGATAAGGTTTATTACAAATGCACCAATCATTATAACTCATATTTATTTCTCTTCTGTGATCTTGACTAGTTTTGTTCGAGAAGTTTTATTCTTGTGAATAGATTTTTGGTATATTATACCGTGCAATATACAGTACATGTATATTATAATAAAAAATTTTTCAGAATTTTAAAGTTTTGTAGATGTAGGGTTATTAAGTTCGTGCTAAAAGAATTTTTTTGTTGAGAAACTTATGAAGCGAGGAAAATCATTTGTAATCAGAGTTTGTGCTACATATGAAATCGTAATTAACGTACCTACCTATACAAGTGTTACCAAGATTTATTTAAACGCCCCTCGTTTAATAAATAATAAAAAAAAAGTTTTTTTTTATAAATAGGAAATTTAAGTATTTATTTATATGCAAATTTAGAGTATTTAAATAATAGATTTTCAAAGGATATGAAAAATTTTCAAAACAAATTCTTTTTTATTGCTTTTTCTTTATTTTTATAAATATATGGTCTATTTAGATTATTGAATCAATATGAACATATAACCACAATCGACACAAGATACAACAGAAAACTTTCGAAATAATCTTCACCTCATTGCAATTTCAAGTATTAACACACAATTATATAACGATACTATGCGGTTAATTGCATTTTTAAAACCATTTAATTATTGTAATTCTAATGCGAGTACGACTACCTATTGAATCTTGTTGAGAACTTTCGGTAAATTCTGTTAATCACATTTGCCATTATATAAGCAATTTCCATATCTTTAATTTTGCTCCAGAAAATTCATTTGCTTAATTAGCAGAAATTTTAAAGAATTCAGTATATTAGCAAATTCTTTTGGATTCCAATATATAATATTGATTTGATCAATTTTTTCATATACTTCGAAACATTATTTGCTGAACATAACTTTGTCATTACTAATCTATAAATTTTAAAAGTTATAACATAATTGGCGGTGGAAAGTATTTCTCAATATTAAAACTATAAGAATAAAAGGAAAAGTATATTTACTGCATGGTAAGCAATGTAAAAGCTGAATCAACAACAACAACACCAGCTACCACACCAACTACAACTACAATTCCACCAAAGTCAAGCACAACGTTTGTAATAATAGTTTACAATATTGTCACTGACGGTAGCAGTCGCGGTCAGAGTAGTGTTTCACGGGTAAATATAAGTGGTACACGTGCTGTTGTTGGTGCAATCACTTCAGCAATTAGTGTTAGTTTCCTTATGTTTTAATAAAATAGTTAATGGATTGAAATTTCACATATCGCTTGTTTTTTTTAAAGATTATATTAATAAAGAATTAATCAAATGATGACATCAAGTTTTATAATTTTTTACTAATGAAATAATATTGTATACGAACATAATAAATCATATGATCCGTAACGTGATTCCACCTACTTTACCCAACAGCTTTACCACCACACCTACTTTCACACCTTATCCATTTCATTATAATAACAAACATAATATACTAGACTAATTTTACATGTTGGATACCAAATTTATTCAACGTTTCCTCTTTTCGTCATTCCTCCTTTCTAGATGGATTTGAGGCACGTAAGCATATGAAATTAATTTAAACGAGGTGTCTTCTCAAAGAATGAATAATTATCATTGCATAGATGAGGTCGAATAACTAAAAAAATAATATTGACGCAGGAATAAACTAATTTTAAATTCTTTCTAAAAGCATTATCAAAAGGTCATTCAATTTATAATATTAAAGTTTATTGAATTATAAGAATCTATTTATTTATAATTGAATTATATATAAATAAACTAAATCTATTTTGAAGCTTATCCCACACGACATGATTGTTAATATTAGTTTTTATAAAATCATTCATTCAAACAAACAACACGTGTAATATAAAAAAACTGATTTATAACTTAAAAAAATTAATATAATAAGTAAATGTCTTTTTTTTTTTTTTTAAAAAAAAAAAAGAAATACTGCGTTTTTTTTGGAATTTTGGATTTGCAAGTTATTACGCTTATCAAACGCACTTTTCGAGCGCCCACGATTTTTTATTGTTCTCTTGCGTGTAGTTTATTTATTTAACGACAACCATAATTATCGCGTGTATCATTGAATATTTTAATTTCTTTAATAACAACTAATTTTTTATACATTTCAATTAATTTGTCATTTCTTTCATGTAATTGTCCATGCTATTTTCGTAATAATAGTTAAAGAAAGTGGAATACATGGCACACGGTTCGCCCAGCGTTTAAAGATAGTCTTTAATACCCATTGAAATGTCGTTTCTATATCTACGTAAGATCCCATTTCTAACTTTAACTCGTGAAATTTTTTAGGTGAAAATTCTACAACCATCTCTAAAAATTCACGCTCCATTATATAGTCTTCACAATCATCACCGCACAAAAAATCAAGGCTTTCTAATTGTTCACAACCTTTAAAATTACTTTAATGTATCCAAGTAATTCAAGTTTGTATTTGAATATGTAAATCGTAACGATCAAAAATTGGCTACAGCTAAATTTAATGAATTATTAAAAGAATAATTTTTTCCAAGATCAAGTTTTTTTAAATTCTTTCCATTGATTTCTAAGAAATTGATCAGGTATCCAACTTTGGGACATTTATATTCAAAAGTTAAAATTTGTAATTGTGGAAGGATAACATGTTGAAGATATTTAAATCCTTTTAATCCTTTTTTTCTAATAAATGATAATTTCTTGTAAATTTGAGAGCTTAGAAATAAATGACAATTTCATGTGACAAGGTTTTCCAACAATGTGTAACTTGGTTAATGCGTTTGGAATTTTTGCTAGTGATTGCCTTTCATCTAAATGTTTGTCACAGTAATCCAAGTCAGATTCATCTGAATAACTGTAATAATAATCATCCAATTCTGCTTCAATCGAATCATCATCAATATAATCCAAGTACAAGTCCAAGTACTTTAAATCTTTTTGAACAGAAATTAATTCCATTTGAGATGAAATATTCAAAAGTTATTTTTAGTGATTGTAAATTATGACAAATTCGTATATCTGATAAAAAAATTCAGGATATAAATTTGAACTACATGAAAATTCTGAAAGATTACTTAAACAATCCTTTCCTCCAGGATAAATGGATGTTGTCGTTTACGTTAAATTCAAAATATAAAATTTTCAAAGAGGTTTGATTCATAAACATTTTAAATATTTCCCGTGTTATCATCAAACTTTTATTATTAACAAGTCTTTTTGGAGTAGAAGGTTGATGATTCCTGAGAAATCTTATAATTGCATGATGAATACCATTAATACAAAGAATTTTGATAAAAGCTGTATAATTAAACAATGGTGGCTTTGAGGTTGATATTATGATCCCATTCTTATATAAAATTGCTTTGGATTTCTTAGGAAGACAAGTGATTAAAGTTTTAAAATTTTGCATTCTTCTCCATAAAATTCGAACAGAGATTTTACACCAAAGACGGTTCACTAACAAGCATAAGCGTAAATCCTTTTTTTTCAATTCCTTCTTTCTAAAAATCAAAAATAAAGTTAGAAAATATTAGCAGTATTCTAAAATTTCATTTAGGCAATCAGCAGGAAGGAACAAAGTCATCTTTTTTTTTTAAAAAAAAAAGGGGGGGGAAAGATTTGAACAATCAAATATATTCGGAATTATGCTTGCCGATCATTTCGGCGTAATTGGCTAACGCATTGAAAATTTTTTGACTGAATTTGTCATCATGCCTCCAGCAGAATTAAACATATAATTGTTATTAATATAGAATTTTAAAAAGTACTATGGATTTATTAAACTTTTTATGATTTGTATTTAAAATGTTAAAATCAAGCATAATGTATTATCTTTGAAACTAAAAAAAAAAATCGAATTATTTTTTAGTGCAATAAGTGCGGCCTCATTGAAATTTAGATTTAAAAAATTTTAAAAAATACATCTTATAGTCAAAAATAGAAAATTCCTTCTACTATACTCGCCCGAAAAGCAAAAACAAACAAATTATTATTTATTTATTACCCGCTGCTACAAATATTGCTAATAATCAATTTCATTGATTAAAAAAATTATACAATAAATAACTTATCAACCAATGAATAATTACCAAAATAGATCATTTAAAACCGCATAAATAATTCATAGGGAGTCTCATCATTCCTTTCGATAACTGTTTCACAACGTCTTGTCATTAAAGTCTATTAAACTTTTTATAATAGAATCCGGATATTGATCCATTCCTGTGGTTTGTGAAACCTCCCAGGAAGCTTTGACGTATACTTGTTTTTCAAAAACGTGATTGACCTATATACTCTCTTTATCTGGCATTTATAGTCTCATCTCATTTTCCGGAATTTTGAGATGTTTTTCTTCTCATCAATGAATAGATTATCTTTTTGTTTTGCTTATTTGAAAAAATCTGATTGATCCATCTTGCTCCTGCTTATTTGAATTCTTTTATTTAAACTTGCTATGAATATGATATGACGAAGTTCCAATTACTTGAAGATCATTACCATTTTCCACATCTTTTACTTCGTCTTTTAAAGGTGATATAATCATGCTAAAAAAAAGAGGAAGTGGATAGAACAACAAAAGTATTGATAGATTTATAAATTGTAACAATGTTAGTTAATGGGAACTTTAACGGCAAATTCTTTTCAGATTGAGGATTGAGTGTTGAAGATGTAATTTGTCAACACGATAATGATCCCAAATATTACTAAGAACTGGCTTTCCGATAATGGAGTAGCATTTTTGACAATCTCCACCCATAGAGCATAAGCCGATAGTCGTTCTTAAGACACCTTCCAGAATTACAGGAAGGGAAGACCCGTGAGAAGATTTACAAGATGTGTGGTATGGAATTGATGTCTACACATGGGAGGTTTGCTATTAAAATCACGTTACGAATCATATGACTTAATATGTTCGTAAACTCGATTTTAATAGCAAATCACCCAATATGTTTGAGTCTTGCCAAAAAGGATACTGATGTAATTTACACAAGAGGTTAGTCAATAATTGTTCAACGTCACGTGGTTTTTACGTGATTAAATAGGAATAAATTTTATATTTTTAATAAAGTTTGATTAGGAGAACAAAATAAATTTATATGATTTTAATGAAAGATTTATGTTTAATTGAGCGTATAACCAACAAAATACTGGCAATCCTGAATTTTTAAATTATATTTTCAAAATATTTTCCTACCCAAATCTGGGGATTAGAGGCCTGCAAAAGTCCAAATTTAGAAATCCGGACTTAATAATATGAAAATTCGAACTTGGCCCAATATAATTAATTATGCTATTTTACGATGCGGAATTTAAATAATTCAATAATATTTATATTTTACAAATATGAAAAATTGTTATCCCTTAAACTGTTTTACCCCCAAATTTGGCGGCAATTTTTGGAAATTAAATGTTGATCCCAAAAAGGAAGGAT